GAAAGGTGGGTGTATGGAAGGGCCGAGTGTAAGACGGGCCATCGTGCCCAATTTGTGCCCCGTTGTTTGTTCGTTCCCTTCATTGTGTGTTTTTCCCCACTAGCTATTCTATATTTTTTGCGGTTTTTTTTTTTTTTTTCTATGGAAAGAAACTAAAACAGACAAGTAGATAGACCGACAGACAAATAGGCAGACAGACACATACTCACATCCTTTGGCTTTTCATACGGTGATATCGATCTCCACAAATCAAGCCTGGAACTTAAATCTAAATTATCCAAAGGAATCCGGACATATCCGACACATTCGTCCGTAGAAAACTGGTCATATTCGTAAAGCAGTAATTCCAGCGTCGTGGTCGCCACCTCTTCCGAACTGAGCTCAAATATAAACTCCTCTTCAAGAACGGGGTTTAGGGTTTTCCGATGAATCCGACATTGGGCGGAAGTTCGCTGTCCCGGAAGTAGGGTCAAACGGAAGTAGGGGTTAGCCATGCCGTCAGGATCACGTGGGAGCAGATTGTGGGCGCGGATGAGGTTGATAGTGAGGATGCTGGTTTCTGGGTTATGCTCCAGGCTGATGTGGATCGTTCCTTGGCTTTCCTCTTCTATGGAACTGACACTTGCTTGACGCACCAACTGTAGTGACAGAAAATAATAGAAATGATGAGTGTGAGAACCGGTATGCTACTTACTTGACCGGCATTGATGTGTCTTCATTCTACAACTCAGGACAGGACATAACAAACCTAATAAGAAGAAACTCCACAGGGGAGCATGTACAGCAGGGGTCTACCAATCATCAGTAGAAGTAATCTCTCGTCGGCAAATGTTTCGGCCCACGAGCTTCTAGACATTTTCAGAGAGTGGGCCCTCCTGAGTTCATGAGGCTCAGTGTTGATTTTCTCCTGCTGCACGTATTACTACTTATTATTAATAAGTATATGCACAGGTCTCAGTGGAGTTTGGTTCATTTAATTTTGTTTGGTTTATTCAGTTTGGTTTGGTTTGGTTTATTCAATGTGGTTTGGTTTATTCAACGGATTAACATCATGGCACACGGGTGTAACCCATAAGTGCTCTGTTATACTTCTAGCTAATTCCTGAGTCTCAGCGCAGTGCACGAACTCCATTGCACCGTCGATGATGCTGACAAACTTTAGATAGATTTTAAACTCCAAACTGAGCCCAAGCAGTGCCGTTAGGCTACTTTTTTTTCGATTTTCAACTGTCACGGTATTTTTTACTTGCGCAACTATACACACGGGTGTCCAGTGAAGAAGCATAAACAGAATATCATGGTGTTGCAGGAAGTGACCTAGGGATCAGGGAAACACTGAAGGAAAGATTAGATGGATAACCAAACAAGACTGTTATTGAAACCATCATAATTAAAATGATCGGGTGGGGGAGGGGGAGGGGAATTTGGTCAATACTGAACATTGAGAGGAAAGATTAGACAGATATACAATCAAACACATTTAGTACGATTATAGTTAGAACTCTGGCTGCTGAAAATGGAGATGGAGAGTTTATGGGAATGAAACAAGCGCTGCGATGTCCTTTCTAAACTTAACTCAGTTCTATTTCAAAGCTTTAATGAAACCACACTTAAAAATCCAGGGTCATCTGACTAGCTCACCCCTGTGCCCCTGCGGGCTGTGTGTGCAAACTTCAGAACATTTCCTGCAAGAGTGTCCCTGGTAAGTCGATTAGGACGAGAAAACCTGCCCAATGTGTCAACACTATACTCAGAATTGTATGGAACTAAAAAGTAACTCCTAAAAACTTTTGTAACAAGAACGTGTCTGTCTGTATTAGAAAACGATCATCAGAATAAGAAGAAATTACATGTCTGACTGTGAACTGTAATCTGGTAATCCTAGTTTCAGCTTCATGGCAAACAGGTCACCCCATAGTTGCTCCGCTCCTGTGCCAACGAAAAACACACGTAGCTCACAGTGTCACGCCATGCATTCAACTCAGAAGCTGGGCGACGAAACTTTATCCTTCCAGTCTACAAATGGAGCAAAAATGCAACGGCCACCGTCTGGCAGGAAAAAAAAGGTGGCCGTGCCTCGCGTCCATTTTGACCTGAAGCATTATATGGGGGTTAATAAACGGTCAACCCAGCAGTACCCTCATTAAAAGCTGGAGAAGGGACTTAGGACATTACATCTACCAGCAGGCGTCGCCCCTACAACGACCTGCCTGCCTTCGTTAACGACTGTTCACCCAACAGCCATGCAGTTCTTTGGCACGAAGGAGACACCTAGAACTTGGGTTTCGGACTGCCGACTCCCTACAAGATGTTATTTATGTTTTGTTATCACACTTGATGTCACTGCACATTGGACATACCCATGCGTGCTCAGTTCTCCGTAGCAGCAGCCACTCCAAAGTTCTTCTACTAATTGTCCCCACGAGAAGCTGGTTATATCGTCTCCTTTCTCGGCCCGTAGACGGCAAAGACGTGCATCACCATGCTTAACTCCCATGTCACGCAATCGTGTTAGTGTCAGGGATTCCTCATTCTCCACTAGCCCAGTTCGCACAGCGTTGACTATATCTGCTCTGTCCATGCTTTTTCCCGCAATCATTAGTGCAGTGCTTACCAGTTGGTCCGCTCGCTTATTTCCCATTACGCCCGCATTGCCCGGTGTGTAGATCCAGGTTATGGACGTTAAGTGTGATTTCGGAATGCTTTCTATCCATTCAGAGCGCATACTGCCTGTTGCTATCTTCTGAAGCAAACTGTACTTATTATCATCATCACGTGCCTTGCCAGCTGGCGTAAGCGCCCATACACTCCACGGATCTCGGTCTTTTGTGTTCTGCATCATTTCCACTGATGATTATTCTCCATGCAATTTCCTTGAGCCATCCATCATCGTTTCTCTTGGTATGTCTCTTCTAGAAGTGATTTTTCCTGTCGTCGGATATTTTCAAGTTCTCCTTCTGTCATCACATGACCAAGGAACATAGTTTGTCTCTTTCTCCTTGTTGTACATAACGTTCTACTTTAATTAGCCTTTTCATGACAATCCTTGTTAGTTATTCTGGCTCCCCGTATGGGTTCCGGGGCTCTGTTATAAGAAAAACACAATTGGACCCACTTCTTCTTCTTCTTCTTATTTTTCTTCTCTTCCACCTTGTTCCTCATCGAAGTGTCGGGGGGAGATGTAATGTTCGTTGATGAGCTCTGTCAAGAGCACTATTAAGACTGATGTTCATTTCTGTAAGGCTGTTCTTAATGCCATCACTCTATATTTTCCGAGGTCTTCCACTCGCTCTATACCCGTTGTAACATTTTAGTGTGGCTCGCTGTGGCGGATAGTACCCACTGCCTACCCAAAAGCATGTCGTAAGAATCGACTAATTAAGAGCTTATTTCAAAGTCAAAGTGCAGCTGCCTGGGAGGCAAGGAAGCAGCAGTCTGCCTACAAATTAGTCAGTTCTGTTAAACGGATGCACACGCAACACTCAAGTTCTGGTACTGGACTGCAGTCCAGAAGTGGACGAACAACCATAACTTTCCGCCAGAGTTTACAGCTGGTGACCGCGAAGAAGAAGAAGAAGTTATTCCGATAGTCCAAGGTATTCGCAACTTTCTTCTCAACAACCACATCCTAGTTTCCTTCAAGCTGTACTCACAGAAGACAGAAATCCTGCACACACACTGTAGTGCACATGCTGCTATGACGTCCTGATCTATTCCACGGTGCTCCTCTCGTTTTTGCTTAACAATGCCACATGGATGTTTTGTTTTGAAAATCGTCCGGCTGGGAATATGGAAAGAGTGCGTCAAGCAGTGTGAAACTATGAAACACGTTCACTACTTTCTAAGCCGCGAAACCCTTAAATACCCTAGAAACAATGTGTATTTCGGAACTCTGCAGTTCACAACTCTACCCGAAGCCTCGGTGGCGCAGTGGCTAGGTACTAAGTTGCCAGTTTGAAGGCGTAGAGTTCAAACTTTGCATTCCCATTAGGAAACCGTGTCTCCTCATTCGAAGTTTCATTGTTCTTATGCATGATGTATCAGTTACTGTCATCTGTTAAGTCTGCTCTTTGTTCATCGTGTAACTCTTTTATGTATTCCTCTATCTCTCTATCGTGACAGCCTTGCTCATTATCACCGTGATTTCAGGTTAACCATCCAGTGATTGATCTATTTTCCTGCTGGTAAAGCAAAGATTATGCTGCGAGTATTTTTCTAAGAGAATTTCAGTCATGTTCTTCACATTTTCTAATTCAATTGTATTTGTCTTTCGTTCATTATCTCCCCCCCCCCCCCCCCGCCCCGCCCCCTTTCCACCAATCGTCGTATGATGTTTTTCTTTAAAAAGTTTTACATTGTCTTTTGTTTCCGTCCATTTCCAGACATGTCTCGTTAATGTTCCAACTTTTTATATAACCCAGAGTGTGTGGTGTTGTCATGTCTATCCGCAACCTTCTCTGTCTTTCTCTCTCTTTCTCTCTCTATCAATTTCTCTCTCTCTTTCTATATGTCTCTCTATCTCTTTCTCTGTCTCTCTCTATCTATCTTTCTCTCTTTCTCTGTGTCTCTCTATCCATTCCTCTCTCTTTCTCTCTGTCTCTCTCTATCTCTCTATATTTCTATATCTCTTTCTCTGTCTCCCTCTATCTATCTATCTCTCTCTCTCTCTCTCTCTCTCTCTCTCTTTCTCTGTCTCTGTCTCTCTCTTTACATGTCTCTCTCTATCTATATCTCTCTTTCTCTGTCTCTCTCTATATCTCTCTCTTTTTCTGTCTGTCTGTCTGTCTGTCTGTCTGTCTGTCTGTCTGTCTGTCTGTCTGTCTGTCTGTCTGTCTGTCTGTCTGTCTGTCTGTCTGTCTGTCTGTCTGTCTGTCTGTCTGTCTGTCTGTCTGTCTGTCTGTCTGTCTGTCTCTCTCTTCTCTCTCTCTCTCTCTCTCTCTCTCTCTCTCTCTCTCTCTCTCTCTCTCTCTCTCTAGTGTACTTTCAATCAGTTCTGACATGGATGTTGTCCCGTGCGCTGACGTCACATTGGCCATCATCTCAGTCTCTCTCTTTCTGCCACTTCTGACACAAGTAATTTCCCTTGCCAAGATACCAGATTCTCCAGTATCTTCTCTCGTGCTCTCCCCCTGGCTCTTCTTATACAGTGTGGATACTCCGCCGTAAAGACCACACATGACTGAATAGAGTTGTAGTGGAGACGTGGTCACTGGACCCACAGACAGACCAGCCAATTCACATTAACCTATTCGGGAAAATGGACTAGGCTGGGCAACTGGTGACCCTGGTCTGTGTGATATTCAGGTCTTTCAGACAGATAGTAATATTTCTCATAACAGAAAATCAGACACAAAAACAAGAAAGAAAGAAAGAAAGAAAGAAATATAAAAAATAAAATAAGCGACCAGTTGCTGAAAGGTGACATCAGAGAGGTTGACAAAGACATCCCTGCAGCGCACATGCTCCCAGCCCCCTTCCACCCTTATACTTCCCCTCCCCCCCCTTTTTTCTCAACCTCACTGCACGTGCCCCAGTCTGAGACATCTCTCAGCCCAGGGGTGGAGTGGGAGACCGGAGATGGAAGGGGTTCACACTAGCACGCGACCTTTAGATTGGACAAGTCCTAGACACAAACCAT